TATACTATACTTAGTATACTTATAGTATATTTTCTAAGTTTTATTATTTTCTCAGCATAGTATAACATACTTATAGTATTATGGTATATTATACTATAAGTATACTATACTTAGTATACTCATAGTACATTTCTCAGTTTTATTATTTATTAGTTTTATTATTTTCTCAGTATAGTAGAACATACTTATAGTATTATGGTATATTATACCATAAGTATACTATACTACTTAGTATACTTATAGTATATTTTCTTAGTTTTATTATTTTCTCAGTATAGTATACTTATAGTATATTTTTTCAGTTTTATTATTTATTAGAGTTTTATTATCTTCTCAGTATAGTATAATATACTTATAGTATTATAGTATATTATACCATAAGTATACTATACTTATAGTATACTTATAGTATATTTTCTCAGTTTTAAGTATATAAATATATTGCAATTTTGGAACGAAAAATTCTCGACGTGCATTGCACGTCGTTCCAGCGCAAGAGGTTAACAAAGAATATTTCAAGTAAACGAGGTGTTTCCATTATTTTGTACTGTATTTAATCCCTCGACTGTAGTATGCAAGGAGACGCAAAACTATGGAAATGCCGGTGGCGCGATCTTCCCGATGCGGTGAAAATGGCGGTAGCCAGGACTGAAATGGGAAAGCGTAGCGGGGACGTTTTTTTTTTTTTCTTTCTTTCTTTCTTTCTTTCTTTCTTTCTACGTACCGACCTGCCAGATGTATAGCTTTTTACTGTAATCCGGCAGCTTGCCAAAGTCCAAGAAGCAGTAAGATACGACTATCCTGTTGCCAGAATCCGGACACCAGGAGATATTGGTTACCGGTCTCTTGGGCGTTTCTGGATCATTGTACAAGTTCACGGTTCTGAGAAAGGAAAAGAAGATGGCTTCATGAAGATGATCGCCGTGAGTGTTGCGCCGTCTCCGCATCTTTCTGGCAAACAACGTCGGATAAATTCGCGAAACCTGAAGATCGTTATATTACGTTAATCGTCGAGCAAAGTTCAATATCGAACAGCCGGGCAATTTGTCGCAACGAGGACTTTGAAAGGTCGATTAAGCAGCGTCTCGAGAAGTACGTCTCGAGGGGAAAGTTGATCGAACTTAAAAAAACGAACGTCATTATTGAAGTTTGTTAAAACTGTGCGAGCGCGATTCGAGAAAATGTGAACGCTAGAAAACAAAAAGAATAAGCCAAGAAAATTACCGAATGACACGAAGACAAGTCGTCGGCGAAGGAACGATTCGTCATGCTAATGAATGAATTTCGCACGCGCGAAAGGAATCGAGGGTAAGTCGGATTCTTAACGGCACTCACCTGTAACCGAAAGGCTGCACCAACGGCGTTGGTATCATGTCGTCGAAATAGTGCTCGTAAATGTTCACCGTGCCATTTTGAAGAACGTGGTGCTCCATCATCTGGCGAGAAAACTTGCGATTTACCGACGAGAGTCGCGTCGAAAGATTTCTACGATTCCGTAGAACACTCTCGCGAGAAGGTTTGTCTCTCTGTTAATCTTTACTCTCGCGATCGTCACGGAACGGAGTTTAGTAACTGGGTTAGGGTGTTCGAGCGACAACATACCTCGAACATGGGACGCAGCTTCGGTGCCCAATTGTCGTCTTTCTCGACCCTTCGTCGATACCTCGTGGTAATCTCCTCGTCTCGCGGATTAATATCCTTCGGCCATCCGCCTTCGAAGTGATACATTCCGGTGTTCCTCGTCGCGCTTCTCACCGTTTGAACCTAAATTTAAAAAAGAGAAAGAGAGAGAGAGAGAGATCTGGAAGATTCAAGTCGAAGATTCAAGACCTGTGCTCTCGACCGAATTCCACCGATTTTTCCTTGAATTTATCGCGCGAACGTGACGATTTCACGAAAGGGGGTGAAAAATGATTTTAACAGCCTGATTGATATTCCGCGCGTATCCTGGCATTCCGTGCTTGTTAATGGATAAATTATCAACCGTGCGCCCGATACGACGGGATTAATCAGTATGCGTAATGCGACGTTCGACGCGATAGAATAACGATAATCACCGTTGTGCTTCTTCGCGTCGAGCTTTTCCAGAGGAGGAAAGTTATCGCGATCAGGGTCGGTGAACATTAAGGGTTTGGTTTTGAACATTAACGAACGCGCTGGGGAAGCGTGTACGACCCGATTTTTCCGATTTTCTAGCCAATGGCTAAATATAGATTTATATAATTATAGTTTATAATTTAGTTGTATTTATAATTTACATACTTATATATAGATTTAATATCATTTGTATATGGATTATATAAATATATATATATATATAGATATATATATATAGATATATAATAGATATATATATAGATATATAATATATATAGATTATATAATAATTATATTTATAATTTACATAATCTATATAATTGTAGTAATTACAGTTATATAGTTATACAGTTATAATTGGTTATAATTTTTCACTTGCAAGATGCTACACCAGAGAAAACTGCGCCTCCAGTCCCAGATAAAATTGCATACTCGATGCGTCGAGTAACAAAGTTTCCCGGAGGACTTGTCTGAATTTGACTGAATGCTTTCAACAAGTTGATACCGCTTTTGTTACCGTGCCACGGGGACGAACGTGAAACTTCCTCCCTGCTAGCAAAATAACGAAATAAACATTGATTCTTCAATTTTCGCGCTTCCTCGGGTCTCCTCCCTTCTTTTGAGCTTTTTACGCTTGCCTCCCTCGGTTCCGTCTGTGAAATAAAGAACGCGAAGACGCGTGGGTCTCGGCGAAACACGAGCACAAAAGATATCCGCGATTCGGTTGCTTGTTGTTCGCGAGACTCTCGCATTACGTCGTCGAGGCTTTGTCTCGGGCTTTGTTCTCGACCACGGTGGAAACGAAATTGTGAAAATCAACCGAGTTACCAGCGGACACGGCACACGTATCGATCTCGTACTTGGAATCAACGACGAAACGAATTTTCACAAAATTTTCTCATTAGCGGCGATCGAGACTGATTTCTGTATCATCAAGTTAAAAAGACGTGTTTAATAAGAAACGCCATTTTTTTCTCTGGAAAGGGATAGTCTTTTTATAAAAAATTTTGCACCGAAATATTATTATTTCATTACACGCTTAATGAACAGTGGGACAACCGGCGATTAAAACAAATTATTACAAATTTCATTTCGATGATATATTATAAATTTTGTAGACGTAAAGCAGCATATTTTTAGCGATTGAAATAAAATTTCCATTAGAGGCATTAAAGTAAAAGAGATGGAATCGAGTACACAAGCTTTTATTTATACGTTTTACGAAAGATTATTTAAATTACTAAAAATTACGCTGCTTTACGTCTATAAAATTTATGATATATCGTTGAAATGAAATTTATAATAAAATTTATAATTCGTGGAAATGAATTTATGGTATACAAATATTATAAAACGTATAAATATGAATTCGTAACAAATATTATAAAACAATAATCATAAATTGGTCATTTTTCCCGTTTTGGTAATATTGTTAGTGTGTCCAAGCTTCAGCAGTGCTTTTTAGCATACGAGACAGATAAAGACCTCCGTATTGGTCTCGAATTCGACTTGGACTCTCCATTGTTAAGACACGCGTCCCTCCCCGTCTATGCTTCATGATTGGTCAAACATTTTCAATTGGATTAGCATCGGATGACTGAGCTCCTTTGCTTTCTACAGCGCGTGTCATTTTAATAATAAGATAAAAGCTCCTGCATTCGCGAAACGGGACATTAAAGATATAATCCTTATTAAATACACCACTGTTTTCTTTTTTCCTTCATCGAATTTTTGGAACGCCAGCCAAAATGTCGTGCAACCGGTTGATGAAACGTTTGAAACGCGGCTCGTTAACTGTCTCGTAGGAACTAATGAGATGGTAGTGGCGTTTCTGGCTGCATCGACGTCGCGTATCGAGAGGAATGGGGAAAAAGGAAATCCGCGTATCGAGATCGGTAACAAAGGTGGAGGAAGGTCGCGACGTCGATTCAACCCAGCGTCAGGATGCGGATGTAGATGGAGGGTGCAGGGTGCAAGCAAGCAGGCAGGCAGGTTGAATGCACTCAGACCAGCGGCGTAATCTTCTTAATAACACCTCGAGCTAACCTCGTGCAACGCCAATTGCTTGGCGTGCTGCACCCCGACGTGACAGTGACTCCTCCTGATGTAGTCGTTCATGTCGGCCGGTCTCGGTAGGACAGTGGCGTCCATTTGCGGCTCGCGCACGTCGAAGATGCACTGCTTGCCGAACTCGGCTCGCGTTTTCGCCAACACTCGTTTGATCTCCATTCTCGCAGGAGAGCCGACGCGTAAATACTTCCGATGAGAATTCTCGGTGATTGAAATTCGGTCGGCGTTGCCGGTTATTCTGTCAGCTCGCGCTTAACCAAAAAGAGATGGCGTCTCCTGAGATGGCGCCATCTTTGAAAAAATTGTAGCAGCGACCTCTACTTCGAAGAATTTAGATTTAGAACGACATCTATGTTCATTAAATCGTTCCGTCGAGATATATGTATTTAATATAAACAATAGAATATTTGAAAATAGCTATTAATTTTATTATCACCATGGAAATGTTTACACACACTTGTATATATATATATATATATATATTGTAGCCATAGTAGAAATTCTTCATTCGTTATTTAACTTTCATTCGTAGGAATTATTCGTTATTTAACATTCATTATTTAATCGTCATTGAATTATTAGTAATTATATATTTTGTTATATTGACAATATTTTTATATAAACTATCAAAATTAATTACGGAGTTATTATTTATTTGTAGTATTGCGATATAAATTTAAATTATCATAATCACTACAAAATCCAAATGTACGTACGTCGAAAAGAGAGAGAGAGAGAGAGAGAGAGAGAAGGTTTTTTCAGGCGATGAAAGAGCGCGCCAGAGTGGCAAAAAGCGACGCGATAATTCGCGTGTCTGTAACGCGCTCGCTCCGCGCCGCGCCGCGTCGACACTGACTTCGCTCGGTGGAAAGAGAGGTGGGGGGTGGTTGCGAACGCTGAAAGATTCATGAATTCACCGAGCGAATAAAGTTCCAGGCGGAACGATATTTGCCTTGTTTCGACAAACACCCGGGGAATTCGACTGAGAAGATTCACGCGTGCAGGCAAGCAGGCGAGTAAGCAACCGTCCTCGAATCACGGCCCATCCTCGTCCTTTCTCCGCGCCAGAAGTGGATTCTCTCCTCTTTATCGCGTGAATCGAGCATAAATAGAGAACTCGTCGAGGCAACAGTCCGATCAAACTTATCACACGTGGATCAAACGCGTTGCTGGGCTTTGATGGCCACCTTTACGCTCCCGACACGGCCGCAATTTTGTGGACCTTCTCGTCGAGACCGACGGCTTGATGAAACGATTCCGAGGCACGCTCGTCGAATTTATCGGGGGGGGGGGACTTCGCCCGAACGTCGAGATCGAGACGCGCGATTATAATTTCAAAAATCTCCGTCGAATTTTCTTGCGAGAGTTTCCCTCCTTCGCGCTTCACGCTTCCTCTTTGCTAATTAATATCGGGTCGATTCTTCTTTTTGTCGGGTCTGCTTCAGGGTAGAGTCGAGTTTCGACGGAGGGTGGTTAATTAAGACGTTTCTTACCTCAATTACCCTTCGACGTCCCGATGGAAATGCAACGATCCGAAGCTGAGGCCGCGAAATTTTGCTTGCTCCGATTAATCATCCGTCCTTCGCCGAAAGGGATCCCACGAAAGTGGCATTACTCTCGAAGCGCGCGTCTCGAAACGTTTGTCAAATACACATTTCAGATCGATCGTTGATAGACGATGGGATGACGAAACGTCGCGATGGAATTGCCGAAGACTCGATTCGCCGTGATACCTGTTCTGTCTCTGTCAATAATTTTTTTTCGAGACGTTCTCTCGATGAAAACCCGTCGGGCTTCGAACTGCGTACTCGTTGGTCAATCTGTAAGACTGACCGGATCAAAGAGGAGAAAGGGAAGGAGAGAGAAAAAGGAACGGTCGACAAAAGATTGCAATCAGGATTTCTCAATTCTTTCCTAATACTTGCTTCATCAGGAACCGCCGACGCAATCATTCTGCCTTAACGAATCGATCGTCTCGCGTTATCGACGCTCCGTTGGCTTTTGCGCGTGCTGTTGCATTCGTGTCACGCTTTCCCACGGCGATGGATCCTCTCTCTTTCTCTCTCTCTCGTAGCTTGGTGCTCGCACTAGGTTACGTTACAGAAAGAGATCCTCGAATATATATTTTTATGAAATTTCCCGCTGCCAATTAGGCGAATTGAGGAAACAGACGGCTGAGAAGCAAAGTGATTTCGATAACGATGTTTCGTTGAACGTCGAGAAAAAAGTAAAAGACAAAACGATCAAACGTGTATCGTGATGTTACGCTTTGGGGAATGTTACGCTTTGGGGAACCGGAAAAAACGATCGCCGGTTGCCGATAATCAGGGAAAATTACCACGCTGTTGGTCGTTTCGTCATTGACGAAATCGCGGAGAATAGCCGCACGCGCATCCGTCCGATCGAAGTTCCCGGCGGTGATAATTTCTGTTTATCGATCTCTTCGCGCACGATCGTGAAATCAAATTTCCCGGGCGGCTCGCCGTTCCTTTATTCTCGCCGATGCGGCGAAAATTGTCGAGTTTCCGCTCGAGGGCAAACCGCTCGTCACGAAAGGCTGCCCTCTAATTGCCTTTGACCAAAAGTCAGGCAACTTTGATGTCCCCCTGGTTATGTCCAATTTATTTCGCGAAACACGCATACATACACACACAGGAGACTGGCAGAAACTATTATGATCATAACTGTTGTAATTACCCTTGTCTAGCTTCGCTGGAGTCTGAATTTTACCCAATGTAAAACACCCAGCCTTTGGCGAGTTCGTGAGTTTAACGATCGTCTTCTCGAATTCGATTTGAACACCGACAGTTGTACAGGAAAGAAAAGTTTGTCATAGATGAATTATATACCTTCGATTTGATGGAAATGCATGTAAAGTTTATCTGCCGTAAAATTGATCTTGACCTTGAATTTCAAGGTCAAAATTTTTTTCTTTTTTTTTGCATCGTGTTCTATTCGTTGCGAAGAAACGACCGTAAGTCGCAACCTGATAGTTCTTTTGAAAAGTGTCAAGAAAATTTTCTTCGTCATTTAACGCTGCGTTCTAACAGCGACTTTATGGTTCTGGACGCGTGGTTGTCTACATATAATTACGTAACGTTTATATTTCGAATAATGTTAACAGTTTCATCATTTGATTAATGCTACTATTATGATAAGTCAAATGTCAGTGAAACTTGATACGAAAATTACATTAAACAGACATCCACGCGTTCGAAACCATAAAGTCGCTGTTAGAACGCACAAGTTTGCAAGAAACTTTTTTACCATTTTTCAAGAGGACTATTAGCTTGCCTGGGCTCCTATGATTCCTTGGAAAAGTTTTACTTTCGTGACAAGTAGAATTCAATGCAAAAAAAAAAATTTTTTTTAAGTCCAAAGTCAAGATCAATTTTTGCAAATTCTTTACATGTATCTCCATTAAATCGAAGGCGTAGAATTCGTCTATGATAGCCACGGATAAACTTTTCTTTCCACTCAGTACACATTACGTATCGATACTTTCACTCTCGAGTATTCGTTAATTAAATAGTCGAGTTTACATGTGGGAATCGACCCCCCTTCCCTCTGTGACACGAATGGAATAATTATTAGAACACTGTCAAGTGCAAACGTTATCCGAGGAATTCGGTGTACCGACAAGCCGATAGAACGAGGAGCACCGATTGCAAACGAGTTCCATAGAGAGACGGGGCGAATCCACACCACTCGAACGCAAACCGACGCGCCGGGCATTATCCTGGCACACGTACCGCCGCTAGTTTCGAGTTCAGCAATCGACGATTCTGAAATTTCCCACCGGAAAATCCGCACGGATCCGCGAATGATCATAACGTTAAAGCTAAATCCAGATGGCGCATTAACCAAACGAAATGTCGAGATATTTTTACTCCGGGGGCGGTTCTGTCTCTTTTTTTTCTTTTTTTTTTTTTTTTCTTTTTTTCGAACGAAGCCCGCGTTTTATGAATTCTCGTTCGCACGTTGTTCTGTTACGAGCGATTTGCTTGGCCAGAAAGTAATTTTTTAGGTTTCTCCTTCTCTGACGAACGTGTAAGCGAAGGTTCGCTTTGAACTGCAAATTTTGCGATCTGATGCTCGATTGTTTTTGCGAAAGATAATGCACGATTTGATTTCAGAATCAAAGGGCAGAAGAGGAATTTTCATCGTATTTATCTCTGAAAACGAGAAAAAGAAGGCTGTGCAAACTCGTGAAAAATTATCTGACGTGTATGGCGAGGAAACAGTGTCAGAATCGGTTTACAAAGTTTCTGACGATGATGTTGAACCGTTCTTGGAACTTCTTTTCATTGAGAAAGATGAGAACATGTGTAAGAAAACATTGAAAACATTTTTCGAACGCGAAAAGATTCTAACGATTCTAAAGTCAATATAAATAATAAATGAACTTGGCGAAGTTTTTTGTTTCTCACAAGAAGAGATTCACAGTCAACGCAAATAATAATAAAAAGAAACTTAACGAAAAGATTTTTTGTTACTCGTCTTCAAAATTCGCCTCTTACCAAATAACCAAACTAATACATATTTCACAACGGCCGTGCCGGCGAATATCCCGCCCAATCCAATCCCAAGAATTAACGTTAACGCCATCTCGTATCGCCTTTACGTCCCAGCGTTTTTCTCCTTTCGATCGATTTGGTTCTTTCAGCTTGGCTTCGCCGGTTTCGCCTAGCTCCGCGCGCGATAAACCCGATAAGCGCGTTACTCTCATCAGCTAATGCGCGAGTATAACGTGTGTGTACGTACACATCCGGTTTGTCCCGGACTGACTTCCTCCCAGTTTATCGATCGCGGGTGCATCGCGAAGCGACGGAAAAAAAGAGGGTTGGGAGGGTGGGATTCCGATTGTTCCGAGCAGCCAGAATCTTTATTTCTCCTGGCCTGGCCGAATAAGCCGACGAAATTGGAATCCGAATGGCCAGGATCGGAATCTGTATGTACGTGCGAGAGTTTTCGGTTTTACCCGGGCGAAAGCCAGCCAACCCTCCCGCGCTTGTTTACAGCGCGGCGAGATACCACCGGTGGCTTTATGGCCGTAGCATCTCGTCGATTGCAAGTGTTGTGCCGGTCGATAATTCCCGTGTTCACTAGCTCAAAGGTTAATTCAGAATCGAATCGGATTGAATCGGTGCGAGCTCCGAGCCAACTTTTTGGGTTAATGGGCGTGCAAGCGGACGAAATCAAAATTTTCGACAAACGAAATGGGCGCGCCAGCCACGGAGAAAGTTCACACTCGCTGAAATCGATTCGATCGCGCGTAATGAAAGTGTAACACGCATGTACTTCTCTGTTTGGTCAACTGTTTATTCGTTTCATTGGAACGTAAAACGTTTAGTGGTGTACAAAAAATTGCCGAACGAAAGAATTGACAAAGTTCCCCCACGCTTTCCCTCTATTTTCTTTTTTTTTTTTCTTTCTTTCTTTCTTTCTTTCGTTCTTCTAAACAACTCACAATTAAAAGTGTTAGAAAATTTCGTCGAGCATCAAAAAAGCGCGCCGTCGTTAAAACACGGTAGAAAGACGAAGTAAATTTCGATTAAAATGTTGGATCGTGTCGCGTAAAGGATCGCCGATTCGTCATCAGGAGAGAACGACGTGAAATTTTCTCTCGAGGACTCCATCTTCATAGAAAGATGCCGATTGGCACGATGCGTCCTGATTCTCCTTGACAGACGATTCGAGAGTGACCAGAGACTAATTGGCACTTAAGCTTTCAACCGGAAGCCGCAAATTACGTGGCCACTTTCGCATCGATGCGTTCCCCGTCAACCCGAGCGTGCATAATTAATCAGAAGATCATCACCGCGATGGCTGGTCGAAACGCGATCGACGACTCTCCTTTCCAAAGTTTCCATTCATTCGATCGCCAGCTCCTCTTCCACGGTGGAACTTTTCTTTTTTTTCTTCTTCTTCTTCTTCTTCTTTTCACGGCGCAATGTTTAACCAGCGACTCGCGAAAGCAGAAAACTTGCGAGTTTCTCGCGGAAACGAGCACCTCCGGCGCCTCTCTTCGAAGGAAATGAAGATAATACGGGCAGAGTTGGAGATCGTATTTGATTTCCATAGTATTGTCTTCGTCTCCTCGATCGATCATTTATTAACTCGGATCCTCGGGTGTCCGACGGACTCTTGAGAAATTCCAACGCAACGAGCAGCATCACAATATTTCGCGATATTCGAACCGAGTCTAAAAACTTTCCGCGAGCTGTTGCTTCCTTCCCTCCTGCAAGTGCCATCCTCGTCGATTCATCCATCGGAATAATCCACGGAGCGGATTATCTCGCTCCCGTGCTCTCCTGGGCTCTCGTCACGTTGACGCAACTTGGCCGGGGAACTTGGTTCGCTTAAACTCCCGGCGATAAATGGAAAACTGGCTGCGTGGCCCTCGCGAGAGAAACTCTGTCCGACTTGTCTCCTCCATCGTTCCCTTTTCACTCGGCACTTGTTTTTTCGCTTCTGCTAACTCACCTGTTTCTAAGCGGAATTCGATGCTGTCGTAGAAAGAAATAGCGGCGGATGAATATCAATCGGCGGGGAACAAGGTTGCACGAGCGTGAAAAAGTTTCTGTTGAAAACGTCAGAGGCTCTCTCTCTCTCTCTCTCTCTCTCTCTCTCTCTCTCTCTGCGAGAGTTCTATGGTTCCGTTCGACGAATGCGTAATAACGTCGAAAGAACTTCCGTTCCGAGGGAAGGAAGGAAGGAAGATCGTTCGTGCGAGCCGGCTTGGATTTCTTCTTCGGCGAAACTTCTCGGCGAGATTGTGTTTGCCCTGGCTGCTGCCCGATTTCCCAATCTGCCGGCGATACCTCGATCCCTTTCTCGCGACAAGATGCCGCCTCTTGAATCCCAATGACGACCGATTGTCTCACGCCTGATGAACCAACAGTGGTGTACTTACTTACAGAAATGTTTAATCTCGTTTGTCCAGCGTCTCGTCCGAGTGCATCCGCGCGAGCGCGGCGGATATCCGCGGATAGTACGGATGTCGTTTGTCGTACTTCTTCATCTTCTGTTTCTGCAGGTTCCACAGCTGCAAGCGCTTCTCTTCCTCGATCTTTCTCAGCTCCTCCTCCGTCGGTGGCAATCGTCGCCGCGAGATCTTAGTCGGGAGAGTTATTATCGTGCTTGTCGATTCCTCCGACTTGATCTCGGCTTCCTCCTCCCGCTCCTGCCTCGTCGTGTCCTGCGGCCTTGGCTCCGTTAATTTCTTCCTCTCGAGCTTTCTCTCGACGTCCCAGGAGCCAAGCCGCTTCGCGATCGCCCTCTCTTGCCAAACGCGCGCCTCCTCCTTCGCCTCGGCCAACTCTTTTTGTAGCACGCTCGGCGGCGTGTCCTTCAACGCCAGGATCCTCCTCCTGAGCGCAGGCGACGGCGATGGAATTTGAGCGACGTAGTCGGTCAATCGCCTAAACCACTTGTTGTCTATCACGAACGATCTGCGTCTCTCCGCAACCACCACCTCCTCCTCCTCCTCCTTCGCGAGCTTCGAAGCAATCTCTTTCTTCTTCGCTCTCCTTATTCTTCGTTTCTCTGCAACGGGAAAATTCGCGCTGAGTTATTTAATTGTTCACCACTTGCGCTGGCAACCGATTGCGGACCATAACGAGTGACCAAACCGTGTACAATAATTCGTCGCTTTCTTTTTCTTTTAAACTCGTCGATATATCGCCGGATAGAATTATTTATTATTTGCTTTGCCTGGGTTATACTGAAAATATACCTAAAACTGAGAAAATATTGCAATTTTCGGAGAAATAGGTTCACCACGCGCGCTGGCAACCGATTGCGGACCATAACGAGTGACCAAACCGTGTACAATAATTCGTCGCTTTCTTTTTCTTTTAAACTCGTCGATATATCGCCGGATAG